AGTACGTCTATTAATCCCGTAAACACAGCAACCTTTCGGAACGATGATAATCCAAGGAAAACAAACTACTGTAGAACAAATTTGCCAACTACGCAAAAAAGTATCCTCATGTTTTCTTCGCTTCACGCGGCTGACGAAGTTCTCTACTGTCACGATTACTCCATTCAATTTTACAATCTGGCGCAAGGAGGGAAGGACAGAGGATTCTGCGCAAGTAAGATCCAAGCTTTTAACATTAACCATCAAAGGGATCCGTCGATTCTGCACCTAATTCACAAACTTCATCCTCTTAAAAGCACTGCATGATGAATGTACAGTACAGTACTGTATATTGAACTCAAACCCGCAAGAAGAATTTGTCCAGCCTTAAAAAAAAAAAATGTACTCATGAGATTATCTCGGTTTGCAACTCACACTTCCTCTACGTGCGCATCAACTTCGTACACCCAGATTTAATTAAGCTAATTCACATTTGAGTAAACACGCTGTGATAGTTCATCAGAACGACGGTAACGAAAGAAAAAAAAAATCCGCCAACTCGACGAAAATGTTCTCGTTACATTTCCCTTCTCTTCACGGAGTCGACATTGTCGTAAACTCGTGCGCAGTTATTTGTTTTGACAACGAACTGCACCGAGAGAGAGAGAGAGAGAGAGATAGAGAGAAAAACAGAGGAAACGAAAGAAGGGAGAACCTGGGAAATGGAATGGAAACCACGATGCAAGAAGAAGCGTTCGCAAACGTCGGAAACTCCTCGTTATCACAGCGTGTTTATTTTCGTAGCCATTCATCCAGATGCCCCTCCCCTCCCCCCTCAAACTCGACGCACCCTGCGGGTTTCACACCCGGGCCATGTCGGTTCGCAGCCTGCGCCTTCGCAACGGCCTCGTCGACGGCATCTGCAACCCGGGTTTCTTTCCTTTCTTTCTCTTTCCCCGCACTCCCGAGAGCCACGGTTTGTGCGTAGTACTGCACATACCAACACAGTACAGTACAGTGCATAGTATAGTATACTTACCAGCCGTTCGTTACCTGCCTCGAGTCGTTACTTTGAATTACCGTTCCACCGAAGCTGCCGGATATTAAATACAACACGAACAGATCAGATTCGAGAATACAATTATTTTTAACGATGGCCGGAAAAATTCCGATAAAGTATTCCATTTTTAAAATGCAGCAAAAAATGACATTTAAGGTGTTACAGTGGCTTTGTCAGAAACATTTTGAAGACTCGTGATGGGTTGCTCGTCCGTTACGCAACTATCGTCCCGGAAAAGGGTCTCCCATCTATTTGTAATACGAATGATGAAATACAAAGAACAGTCGAGACAAAAACGTTGATCCAATGACACAGTTGGTCAGTAGGAATAGGAATAGTACTGTTCAATGAAAATTCACGTTCCTCGAAAATTTCTCCCTACAACTATCACACCAACTAAGAAACAAGTCAAAATTCAGAGATTATTCATAATATCAATGAGATATATTATATAATATATTCATATTCATCAAACCCACAAGATGCACTGAAAACGTCTCTTGCAATAAATTTGGCAAAAAATAAACCTCTTTCTACGAAACAATAATTAAATATTTGACTGCTGGTCAATAACGAGCAGCGATGAAAGCATACGTGAAGCCATTCTGATCTTCCATAAAATTATTTTCCTTGATTGATTAGCTTGCAAATACTGCATTATTGGACCACTCGGAGTCCAAAACTCCCCTGTGATACACGAAACAATTCCCAACCAACTGAGCACAAAGCGTAACAATTCACGTTTAATTTGAAAAATACCAGAACGGCAAAGATTTCCCTTGAGCTAACTTTAGATATAAAGTACAGTACGCAATATCTCAATATAAATTTCATCCTAATCATCTTAAACTAAGTACGACTGACATCTTCGTGAGATTTGAGTGTTATCAGGCTGATTCAGCGAATTGAAATACAAAAAACTGACAAGACTCTCCCACAACTCTTGATGCAAGTGATTCTGGTATGTATTCAGCCAAAACGAGTTTCCCTCGAAAAATAAGGAAGAAAAGACAGTTAGAATTTCAACATCACGACTCGGAAATCCTACACTTGCCAATTAAAAGACCCTCCTCGCACACTTCGGGCTTCAAGGCAACTCGGTTCCCAGAACAGAAACAAAAAACCCAGTGTGTTACTGTCGGGGGTCCCCAAGGAAAAAGTCTTTCCCACTGACTCGGGTTACATCCCTTCGCACCACGTTTTGGCGACAATGCCAAAAAGATGCATCCGATGAAGGGAAAATTTCCACGGATATCCTCGGAAAAGGGGTTTTTCGTGACGAATTTCGCATCAACGCAAGGAGATGAATTCCAGAACATTATGGAAATATTTAATATACTGTATATGCACCATGACATTTATTACCACGATTGCATATTTCGAAGTGAAATAGCGGGGCAAAGTTTTTAATGAAGTAATCCCCAAACAAAAGACGTCTTTTTTCTCACGAAATCGGTGGAATTACACACTATTCCTAATTATTGGCCGAAAGCCTCCAACACATTTCATACAAAGCAAATACAGTACATTCCCACGAGGAAGTCACGAAGTTCACTGAAGATTCATAAACGCATCGAAGAAAATTCATCCCCGTAGAAATTAAATGAGACATAAATTGAATCGCCAGTCTAGCATAATCAAAATTTAATTTAAAATCAAATGATGATTAGCAGCTTCTTGTTTATTGTTTTAGTAAGATAATCTTCTCAAGTCTTCCGTTAGACAGAGGACAGTGTCTGTAAAGCAACCGTCACTTTCTTCCAAACATCTATTTTTAGCTGAAGAAATCTGGAATCACTCATCGAAGACCGACTTGAAAGAAATCTTTGTTTCCGACACCCAACGGGAACCAGAGAACACGGGTTCCTCACGCTTCAGCAGAAAATCCCAAAAAAATCCTAGTGAGCATTTCTGACACTCGAAAAGAGAAAAATACATCTTCCTTTCGGTAAATTAGAAACATGCTGTCAGACAGGCGCAACTTCCGGCCATTCTCTCTCGCTACCCATCCGAAATTCCCCGTCCATGTTCTTCCATTCATGAACATGAAACAAAATGAAAGGCCCTACGACGAAGTCATGGCGGTATGAAATGCAACCCGTGGGTGGGCCCGACGGACCCCGTTTCCCTCTCGAAAGCATCGTCAAGAACATTCATTTTCCGACACGGTGCACACGGATGGCATCATCGTGATTTCTCAGGACCAGATGCTTTCCAATTTCCCTGCAAATGTCGACGAACGTGGAAATACCCCCGGGTTTTCTGCATAGCCGGGCTTTAGGAAGGGCATTCCAGATGAGACTTACAGTGAGTGCTTCAGATCTTCAGGCGATCAGCCTACACATTTACGAATACGTGTTCCCCTTCAGAGTTCGTGAGAGAAAGCCAGCCGAATTCGAGCAATTTCAATTTTCTGCTTCATCAAAATTTGATACAAGGGTATTCCCGTCCAGTACTTTCAATATCCCAAGTAATCTGTTGAGTAGATGAAACAATTGACAGAATATTGGCACTGAACCAACTCCTGTCTTCGGAGGATAATGTCGAGTGAAAGGTTACTTCTCGCTGACTACGTCCGCAATCACAATGATTTAAAAACTGGAACAAACAATTTCTCAATTTTCAAAAAAATAGCGTTGAAAATCATTACAAAGCAAGATTATCCGTCAGAGTGCGAGTTTGAAATTTTTCACACCAAAACTCAATTTCATTTATAAACGTGCCGCATTTTGAATTCACTGACTTCCTTTCTGGGAGGCCTATACTGCTATTTTACATTACATGGATGCTAAAACCTACACACACGGCCCATCAGAGTTTGAAAGAAGTAATTTAAAAAACTGGGTGAAAGTAACAAACAAATACAGCTGAACCTCGATAAATCGAACCTCCCGAAGTCGAATACTGTACCTCACTATGCATAATTTAGTTCAAGACCCTTTCCGAATTTTCTTGAAAACAATGCATTCAAAACCGCCCTATTGCAAAGATTTTTCAAATCAACCCTCCATAACTCAGATTTTCTGAGGGGTCTTTTGGGTAGCATTTTATTGAAAAATTAATTATACTGTTTATGCAATAAAAATATAATTATTTCCATTTTGAAAGAGAGTGAAGGACTAATTGGGCAAATGAACCCTTGCCTCCAAGTCAGCATCACCAATTACAATTTCCTGTAATTATTTTTCCTTCCTTCAAACCCAAATGCTTCTTACCCTGACCCGTATTTTTTCTGGTCCTTTGAAGTTCCACTTGAAGAGATTCGACTGAAATTCAAACAATATTTAATAAATTATCGGGAAATATCATGTTTCTCTCCGGACTCAGAAGTTACTCTGCGAAGAGATCCGGCCAAACTTTGAATACGAACTTCAACTTCCCCAGCACGCATATAACAATAGCAAGTTTTCATTCCTACCTTTGACAAAAGAACACACTTAATACGGTCAAATCCAATGAACTTTCAAAGAAACGAGCAGCCCTCATACTCAATGTCACTCTCCCTTCCCTTGACTTTCCGTCTTCTTCTCCCCCCCCCCCCTCACCCCCCAAATGCATTGCATTCGACATTCTCCATTCGAAGAAAAGACGTAATTCAATCCGATCTTCGTGACCTCATTCGCGTATCGCAACATTCCCCGAAAACAGCCTGACATCCTAAATATGCCATCGTCCGCTTCTACAGCTTTCACATCGATAAAATAAAACAAATGCCCATCAATAAAATTCCGCCCGCGATACACCAGAAAGTTCGGAAGCTGGCTTTCTTCCTTTTTTCTTGCTCTCGATATTGTTGCTGACCTTCTTCGACACGAGAAAATACAGAGTCCATTCAGGGATTCTCGCGCGGAAATGGGGGGAAAACAAATGAGAAAAACGCCTACGCCGACGGAAGGCCCTATTCAACGACGGAAAGCGTACGAAAATGAAGACGGGAATGAGGTCGAAAAGAAGGTCTCACCTGTAATGCTCCGCCCGCAGCTGCTGCTTGTGCTTGCAACGCCAGCATCGTCGCCGGATCGTACGCGTACATTCTGCAATGGAAAAATAGGCGGGAAGCCGTGGAAACAATCAACTCGTTCATCAAGCTAGAAGACAACGACGAGCAGAGAACCCAAGAAGAGTGGGCAATTCTCTCTATCTCTCTCTTAACAAACACACACACAAATAACTCTTTCTAGATGGATGGTTCTGGTTCAGATATTATCCAGACATGCCGTACATTCTGTCGGATGTGGTATTCGAAGCCTTCATCACTCGCCCTGGGCAATCAACGAAATTCTTTGACATAGAAAATTACGGAAAACGTGTTCTTCAGTCATCGGAAAGTATTGATGTCTACAGTGTCGACTATTTAAACCTCGAATGCGATAAAAATATACATAATTTCTGGATTGGTTCTCGTTCAGGTATTTTCTAGACCCGCCATACATTTTTTAGTTTTGGTATTTCGCATTTCATCAGTCGCCCTGGATAAAAAACTATGAACATTTCAATAATTGAAAACTATCAAAAACGTCTTCTTCATTCACTTCTGGATAAAAGTAAGATATGCATCGAATGCGTTTGAAAAAAAGTCTTTCTACATCGACTCTTGTTCAAGTGATGTTTCATCAAGCCACGTCGTACATTTCGCCGCAAGGAAATTCCATACTTAATTCTTCGCCATAAATATTCATGATAAAACTGTCGAGATTTGAATATTCTGCATTCATCGGAAATCCTTGAGGTTCAGACGCTACGAAGTTGTACCTTGAATGCGTTCGAAATGAGCCTGTCTCTACTGGTTCTTGTTCGGATATCATCTATGTATCCATACGATTTGGGGATCTGACGCTTCGTCACTTGCTCTGAATACTAATCATACAATTTGTGAGGGTTTAAAAAAACGAAAGCCTAAATATGAATTGCTTTCATGAGAAAAATTCCAAAATAAATGATTTTTCCCAATTACATGCGATGACGTCACATCTTGATTGATTCGGAGATAAGTTTTTTAAATTAGTCCCTTTGAGGTGTACGGAAATGTACGCAATTTCTAATGCACTCATCTAAGATGTCTTACATTTTGCTCTTCGATAACCACATTCAAGATAAGTGCTGCTTTCCTCGATTGATTTATGAATAACAACAAATACTTGTTTCGATCATCATACATATCGTGAGGTTGACACTTGATAAATTAAAACTGTATTCGGTGTTCCCTTTCGTAGCACAGAATTGATTCGGGGAAAAAAGAGACATGCTCTCGAATATCAATATTTTCTGTTCGAATAATGACAAGACTACTTCAAACGGCGAAGCCCACCCTGAAAATGAACTGAATACTAAAAATAAATATCAAAAATACATTTTAAACGTAATTTGTTCCAGAATCGATTTGATTCAGACATTGGCTGGTGTCGTTCAAAATCTTCGGACACAAATTTAGATCGAAGCGAGATGAAAAAATATTGAACGCTCGAGTTCAAAATATGGAGGCAAATTTTCCATCAGCCATCAAATATTAATCGTCCGAAAAACGGCTGAAAATTAAAATTTAATATACAGTATTTACGTTCTCATGGCGACGAAAATACGATCTTGACAACGATTTCAACATAACTAACAAGCAAACAGCAATTCGGTTCAAAAAATTACTCTGGTCAAATGAGGAAAGTTTTTTTTTTAAATGCCTCGAATAAAAGACCGTAAGACGATCCTAAATCAGCGGAAAACGCTTCGTAAAATAAACACCGACGAAAATCCAAGAATATCTAGAAAGTTTCATCTAAACTTTTCACGTCGGAAAAAATTTAACTCAAAAATCAAACGGTTCCTCGGAGAAAAAATAAATTCTTCGAGGTGTTACAAGCGAACACCTGTTCTTAATTTGAACCAGGGAAGACGGGAGCAATTTCGACATAAATCACACCGAGGAAGAATTTCTGTTAGACACAGGAATGAGAAAAAAAAAACTGCCTGCCACTAATTTCGCCTCTGCGAACCCTTGGCCAATTAAAACAAAAAAATTGCCACGGACCCCACAATTCACCGATAAACAAATCATTCCTTCCCAGACCGGAAAAACATGATCGAGTAAACTTTTCAGTAAAATTTCACAGACCACCTTGCCGCTAGAAGTACAGTGAACTGGATAATTGCCAACTCGGAAGAGATTCTTCGGCGGAGGGAAAAAAAACTCTCAGCATCCCAAAATAAGATCGAAGATTTACGAGTTCGTGCTTGAACCCGGCAATGCATTGTCAAGTCTAACAGAGATAAGCTTCGTCTGTTCCAAAGAAGAAAAAACGAAAGAAAAAAAAAACTCAAGAAAGGCACAATACTTCTGGGGGGAAAAAAGTATTCAAAAGTAATTTATTTTCCAAGCCTAGGAACAATAGGCAAAACTAGATTACCGTTAGTAGAATCCTCGTAAACAAGACAAAACGAAAAGCCCCTTACACTACCGGTCGATAAAAAAATGTAAAAGAAACAATATCGTCTAAAAAGCTTATGGATATTGATCAACGAAGAACCTCATGTCGGACAAAGCTGCCGCAATGCGTTTTTTTGCTTTGGCCGGCAACTCACACATTTCCGTTATAATGACAACTTTATTATACTGCAACTGATTTCACATTTGTAGAAAAAAAACCGACTCAGCAAAGAGCAAAAATGAGAAAGTACCTCGCAGTTTTCCAATCATACACATAACAGTAACGCTTGCGAGGTAAACTTTCGTGTAATTTTGGGACAAAATTACATGAGCCTTCACTTGAGGTAATGAGGTGTATCACTAAAAGACATACACTATAATAACTTGCAAATGTATACACTTCTTAGCCAAACAGTGCGATATTGTTTCTGGTTTAGCATGAGCAAGTGATAGTGCGCCTTTTATTCGCTAGAAATTCTGGTTTCAGTAAGAAGGGCTGTGAAATTGAGATCCCTTTTAGAATCGATGGCGCCTTGTATTTATTTATTGCATCTCTTTTCTCTCAAAATAAACCTCCCCAGACACGGAAGAACGCATACGAAGGCTGGTGCTTCCTTGTACACGAATCAATTTCGTTGGAAATAAAAAAAAAGTGACCCTCTTCAGCCTATTGATGCCGTCCCGACATTATGCTTCATTTGCATGAAATTGATTCGGGAAGCGAAGCATTCGGAGCTGAGAATCGTGCCTCGTCTTCAAAAAAAATAAAGCAGAAAATACGCATTGTGAGATCACATAAGTACCCACCATTCTTCAGAAAAAAGTATTACTTTTGTTCAACGAGAATTTACGGATCTTTCCGCTCAACCGTCAAAAAATCGGACCATTCTTCAGCAGCATCTGCTACTGACGAGTGGTTTGGGAAAAAAAAAATCCAGTTGTATTTTCCTTTGAAAGCCGGTTCCGAAACTAATGCTGCAATCGGTACTGGAAAATATTTCCACCAGTACTTGACGAGCATATGACAATAAAAACTTAATCGAGGTTACAGCGTAAAATTGTTTCTGCTCCGATACACTAAAAGCACTCCTTTACAAGAATACCAACAGACGAAGGGCCTCTATTTATAAACTGCCCAGATCCAAGATAAGAGACAGAAAGAAATATGTTTGCACCCGAGTAAATTTTCTCAAGAAAATTCAAGATACAAAAAGTATCGCTTCCGTAGTAGACGATACGAAGAACATAAACCCCAGGTCAGTTCCAAAACGATCAAACTTCACAGCAGAATACAACTTCTCACGAAACCGCAGTAAATTTTGCTTCGCAATAAATTTTCGAGAAAAATGTCCTCCCAGTTTCATGATTTGCCTGTTTAAAATGAATATAGAGAAACAATGAATGCATTTATTTACACTTTACTACATATTGTGACCTCTTCCAAAACCTTCAATTGTTGGAACACATTCCAAAGAGCTGGAACAGGGACCTAGCATATTGTGTTCGCAAGTAAAATTGATTTTCAGGCTGAAAAGAAGTTCAACTCTTGTAATTGAAGTTCTTCAACATACAAACCGTTTTGTTTCATCTCAATGAGTCAAAGCGTCAACCCGTTTCGTCGCACAAGGGGTCTAACTAAAGTTCTCAGACTAAATATGGGAACAACATTTATTTTATACAACATTTTTTTATAGGCCGCCACGTGGTGTAAGAAAGTGGCGGCTGTTAATGGATACGGCGAAATGACTGGAAAACCTGGAGACAATCCTAGGAATAGATGTCATGTAAATTTCAAGAATTCTGAAGGAGAAGCTGGGTTGGGTTACACCAAAAAATCTGTGAGTGCCTCATATTTTGAATGAAGAGCGGAAAGCTTCCGGGGATGAATTTGTTTCTTGTGCCAAAGAAAGTGTTTAAAAAAATAATTGCTACCCAGAAAAACTGTACGCAGTTTCAATTTTCAACCAGAGAACTTTTACCCTCATACGAGGGTTGCCCCAGTCGTACGCCGACAAATTTTCAGACCGGCTGAAAATGATTTTTTTGTCGTTTCCCTAATTATCCTTTCATTACTTTAGTTAATGGTTACGACAACAAAATTAAATCTTTAGCTAACCTGAAAACTTTGTATCCGCCTTTGACATGAGTGGAGAATTTTGAACTGGAAAGTTTTCACTTATCATCATGCGATAAATTGAAATTTTTTCTAGACCAAAAAAAAAAACCCAGGGCATCAGACATTGAAACATTATAGGTTATGTCGCGATTTTCTTATTTTGTACCATCACACAGCCTTTTATGAAAATTATCAGAGTGACGGGCAACCCTGGTACGTCCGGGTAACGATAGCCCAGAAAATTAGGAGCAAAACTACAATTTTACAAAATGAAAAAAAGAGTGTGTACTCACGAAGGATACGCAGCACCGGGTGTCAAAGCAGTGGCACCCGCTGTCAAGGCGGGTCGCGAAAGCGCGGCCGCCACCGGGTTATAAGCAGCGGCAGCACTCAATGCCGCCGCGGCGGCTGCTGACGGCGGCCTCAGCCGACCACCGGGGCGTTGCATCGCCGCCAAGCCACGGAGTGCAGACGCGTTCGCTGCTGCGAACATCTCCGGATCTTCGTCGATAACATATCATCACACAGACACAAGTTGACGGAGGAGAGGAGGAAACGGGGCAACAAAAAAGAACAACAAGGCATCAGTAATCGTTTTCCTTACAAACAATCTTCTCATTATGAACGCAAGGAGACATTAATTCGGAAGCAATAGTTGAAATCGCGACGAAATTCGGAGTAGAAAAAAAAAAGATAAGCTCGGGGGTAGTTGGGACAGCTTTTCGGAAAAACCACGTCAGCCCGACGCCACTTTTTCCTTCTTCTTCTTGTTCTTCTTCCATGTCAACCGTCTCTCGTCCATTTCCCTAATCACTTCTTCGGACGCCTAAATTCCAAGACATTTTCCTAATTGGCAAAGTTCTCCCCCTAATTTCAGTCTATCCTCTGCCACGTCTTGAACATTCAAAGGACGAAGAAAAGCACGAGTTTCTTTTTCTCATTTTTTTAAAGGAAAAAAATTGATTCTGTACGTGACTAAAAAAAATTTCCAGAACGCAACACGAAATGAAGGAGGAGCAGAGATCTCTTCGCTAAGCTATCACTTCTTGAAGGACACATCGAACTTCAGTTAAAAGCCATCTTGAATCCGTTTCGATTGTGTGAACACGGGAAGACAAAGCTTTGTTTCGCCCTGCAAATGTTCAACACGGGTCTTTAATCCTGTCGCATTTAAACTAAGCATGTTCCGATACATGTACAAGTAAGCTCTTCTTAATCCCCGAACTGAAAATCTCGCCTCGCAACGGAAACTAACCAGCCAAGAGTGTGACAAAAGGAGAAGAAAAAAAGGGGGAGGCAATCGATCCATGAAACACGTTGCAACGTCGAACGAGCCAACATAACTATATGCAAACCATGTGACGGAAAAAAAAGAGAGACAAACAAGCATCGCTCATGTACAAGGTGGAAAATGAAGGAGAGCCTGTGACTAAAACACCCTGCGTTCTGTTTGTGAAGTCCTTGTCCTCCAAAACACAAGAGAATTAATCTAAGAGTAAATACTCAGATTCAAACAGGATTAATGAACACTTGGGCGAGACCGGTGGCATTCTCCAAAAAGCATGTCCAAAATCGTTTTCAAGATCGTATTTTCGTCGCCATGAGAACGTAAATACTGTATATTAAATTTTAATTTTCAGCCGTTTTTCGGACGATTAATATTTGATGGCTGATAGGCATTCTCAAAAAAGCATGTCCAAAATCGTTTCCAGAAAAAAAAAAAAAAAAAAAAAAACGCATGCCCAAGATGGAAGAAACAAAAACAAACATTGCGGGAGGCTTTCTCTTCCGCCCGAGACAAAACGTGCACAGCTTTTCTTTCACGACACCAGAAATAAAATAATCCTCCATCGATTCATCCTCCAAGCCATTAATACAGTACTGTACATCAAATTCACAAAGCAGCTGATGATGAGCGAAACACGAAATTTTGACTCTATTTTAATCAACAGCAAGAATCTTATTCATCTACTTCACAGCAATGCATATTGCACGGATTTCAAAGGAAAGAAACATTTCCGGAATATTTCAGAACACTAGAAAATTTCCAGAGACGACCAACATACATCTAACTCTTATTTCTGTCGCATAATGTCAAAGGCAACACAATTTCAACGATCCTTTCTTTTTCTCGGTTTTGCCATTTAGCCTCTTTTCGGAGATCACCAGCTGCTTGATCGGGACACAGTTTCCTTTCCCTCCCAAGTGCACAATAGCAGCAATTTATTCTCCTCGCCTCATTCCGCATGCAATTGCGTTACAGGAAGGAAAAGCAGGGCACGTTCCGTCTCAGCCGCAAGACCCACGCAAGACGGTGGATACATGAGAGAATCGTCGAACCCCTTCACCGAACCCGACCCAACCCTCGGGACACAGGAAAGAAATGGGTACTCGGAACAACACCATGCATTCGCAAGCGGGGAGGAAAAATTCTCTCGGTCCCCGACGGAAACTCGCCAAAAGAAATACGACGACGACAGAATCCACAAATATTTGCGTCTCTATATCCAACTGCAAAAATAAATTGTATCCACGGTACAGGGATTTCGTCACTATATACCGAGGGACATTCACAAAGTCCCCCGTCTTTCACTGGAACAATTTGTTCAACTTTTAAAAGATATTCTACAAGACCAGCTTTGCACTTACTGATGTTACGGAAGGCACAGAGTGAAATGTATCGATGCACTACGAGTAATCAATCATACATAATTTATCCAACTCAAAGCGAGATTTAGAGACGCAAATTCCCAAAAAAAAAAAAAAAAATATTAGGAGGAGAATTCGGGTGAAAAAAAGCAAAGCGATGAATAGCTCACCCAAGGTTGGTTGAACCACCATTCCATTTCTAGCCAGTAACACTACAACCACGGTCCCCAGAAGATTTTTTCACGTGAGGAGGAAGACACAAAAGCAATACCATGAACACAAAGGATCAAATCGAAGAAATCAATATATATATGTATATATATATACTGTATTTAGAAAATATAATATATGGCACAAGAAAAGAGGCCACGGAGAGATCCCTTCGAATGCTCGCATCCCTGTAAAAATTGTATCATCGCATGGGCAGAATATTTGACGAATATTCTCGCAAAAGGGGAGAATACCCCTGGAAAACGGACGGGATCAAAGAGAGTAAGAACTGGTGCCCGGATTCGACCCTGGTAATGGCTCTACCTCAGGCACACCAACGCCTCCCATCTTTCACGACAGCACATCCTCACGTATGGCATTTCGTCCGCTCTACTACAAATCGTGGAAAATCGCCGAATCCATGCCCACAATATCAAAGCTAAATTTACTCGAGTGGAATCTTCTTTAAATACAGAACCCAGAAACTACTGTACAGTGGAGTCCTGACATACGGACGATTTTACTGAGGCACACTTGAAGCTCTGAAAATATGCTCCGAAATTTAAACTAAGTCTTGAGATACGAACACTCCGCCAAAAAAGGAAAAATCGTCTTTTCCAGAACGTTGATACCTCTAGAATAACTGAGCTACAGTATTTGCAAAAACTAAGAAAAACATTTTACTTTTAAAGTTCACTCTAATTCATAATCCAAAACGGGCTTAATTGTGGGCTTCTTTTTTTTTAGAGCTTTTCCCCCATCATCTGAACAGTACAGTACAATATAACAAAATATGGACTATTTCTTTGCTTTTTGGGCTCCTTCTAATGTAAAAAATCAGATTCTGCGTGTCTTTCTTATTTACCTATTTTTTGCATCTTGAAGTTAAGAGAGAATTTCATTTAATCTTTGGAAGAATTTTCCCGAATTCTGGATTAAAAAAAAAAATAATTGAATATGCTTCAACTGAAGTCTAGTGGAAAAAATGATCCGGCACCCAGACGTTCCGACATAAGGACAAGTACGTCCACATCTCGGGCCCTATTATAGTCCTTCTCACCAAAAACTCTGAAAATTATAAAAATATGCACCGAGGAAGTCCTGCAGAAATACGCGTTCTCTACTAGAATGGGGAAACTTCGAAGATTACTCTGAACTGTTTACAGCTCGAAAAACATTTACAAATTTTCCAGGTTTCAATCTTGCGAAATATGGAGAAGTGCGAGCGTGAGAGACAAGAAGCATCGCTGAAATAAAGCACAGGCGTTAAATTTTCGAACCGACATAAAATTCATATTATATAAGTCGGAATATTCGGACTCGCATGAGTGAAACAGCAAGTAAAAGCCATCAAGAATGACGTGATTTATCTTCCCGCACTTATGAGTACTAGAATGAAAAACTACAGTACTATACAGTAGTTCCAGCAGAATGAACACAAATTCTTAATTGCGGGTTGAAATGCCTCAGATTATTCAGATATTAATCGAGTTAAATTCAACTTAAATTGATTTTTCCAGTCGTCCTAGAATATTGGTAACAGTTGAAAGACTATAAATTAGTTCAATCATTACAGAAGAACAATACGGTACTTTTGAACAATATTTCCACCACTCCACACAATAGAAGACATTTTGGATCCCTCTTAAACATGGCTGATAAATAAATCTCATGCCATAGAGTATCCCCCCCCCCCCCTGGAATAGCAGATCTCCACGATTTGTGCAGAGAAGGCCCGATTCCATCAACTCACTCCACATGCCATCATGACCTCCCATGAACTCGACTGACACAGAAAACAGGCCCAAAATTCAACAACATCGGGTGCGGATACATTCGAAGGATTCCCCCACGTCACATCCAGGGTTCCTTCAACGCATACTGAACTAAAGATTCTTTCGTGAGCCCACCAACATTTCACCACTCACCGGAATCACAAATCGCAATCAATCAAGAGACCAGAAGGTTTAAGAGAGAAAAGTGAGAGCACAGAACAAAATGGTTCCGCTGATTCATGCTTCACATTACATCTTTACAGAGTATACAGTTTTATACATCAAAAAATTCAGCTCACGTTGCAGCAAAAAATAGAGAAAAACAGAAGAGGAAAATCGCTTTCGTCTCTACTCAAAGTTTTTTCATCGTTTTCTTTTGAAGAAAAAACCATGCTTTATTACGTATTATACCGTAACTTATCCAGAAAAACCTCCGGAAAGCTAACGAACCGTTACCCAGACGTTTAGAAGATACACGCCGTTAGGTCAGAAAAAGGAACCAAGCGTTGAGGGACGACAACCACAAACAAACGCAAAACAGAAGACGGGATGAAAGACACCGGCTAACCAGCAAGAGACTAAAACTCACCACTTTGCAAGGCATTTTGTGGCTTCTTGGTTTGTACTCTGGCAGTGGCATTGTTAACCTAAGGAACGAAAACGGAAACTCAGTCGTGTCGCTCTCCAAACTACTGTCCACTAGGAGTCATCAGGCCACGACACCCCGATCACAAAAAAACAATGTATTTATATAGATATATATATATATGTATAACACATCCACGGTGAGGATACCAGTGCCAAGGGCGAAGGAGAGCGAGAAGGACTGTGGTATCAAAACGATGACCAACACACGTTGCAGAAAAAAAAAAAACACTGAAGCGTTCAACACGTAACTTTTTTCTTCGCTTAATGGGAAAAAATTGCTCTTTTTTTGTTGCCAAAAAGAAAGACGACGAATGCCACACACGTGCCAATCCACTTTCCCTCGGCCCAAGACACATTAGCATTTGTTTGCTCCTCCTTTGCCCAACCGAAAAATAAATGTGGTCACACTTGAGTTTAAATTTCAGGCTTCATCACTTTTGAAATGCTAAGCAAAAAATTCAAACGCCACAAAACGCTTGGGTAATGCACAAAGGATCCATGGATTGTGATCGAAAGGAAAATCACTCTTTTACCAAGCAAAAACTTCGATCTTACGCAGCTTCGAAAGGCAAGAGAAACGTTCTTATGAATGCAAGGAAAATCGTGTGAGAAAACTGCGGCAAAACATTCAAGAAGCAAGTCTAAAATGCTCAAACGCCTTGCAAAACACGAAAGCAGACACAATGATCAATCAGCGGTGTGAAACTGGGTGAAAATAGTACCGATATCAACAGCACATTTCAACTTCGGTAAGGTGGAGAAGCAGCAAACAAACGCTTTCAATGAACAAAATCGCGAAGCTTGGAAAAAAAAGCCGAGCTTTCCATTCAAAAAGTTCCGCTCAATTTTTTTTTCAAGCATCGCGAAGTTTTTCCTTCTCGATCCACTGGCAAAAGTTCCCAAAAAAAATGAAAGTGGCAATGGAGCGCATGATACTGTACTCACCAAAAAACTGCAACATGAGAAAAATGCTCAGAAACTAAGGAATGACGGCAGAAACAAAGGATCATGAGAAGAGAGGGAAAATTCTCTCCGTGGACCGAGAAGGCAAAAAAAAAAATTGTCGTGTTCGCAAAATAAAAACAAAAAACAACACACATCACGCACATTCTCAAACAAGATACACACACTCCCAGACGACGGTGCCTCGCAATGCCCAACGAAAGTCACAGAAAACATTCCAAAAATCAACCATAGTCAAATTTAAGGAAATTGAAAATTCGACTGATGCAGATGTGCAATTAATTCGAGGTGAATAATATAGATCAATAATTAAAAAATCGAACCAGAACTTTCATCAACATTGCCACTCAGAAACACATTTACACCATTTTTTTTATACAGTATTTCTGACGGTTGGTGCTTTTGAAAATGCTTATCGTGTTGATCTCAATTATATCAGGTGATCATGGAGTACAATCGCTTGAAATCCCGATTATCGCAGACGACGGAGTTCATGTATTCAGTAAATCTCCATTCCATAGTCTTTTGAAGTTCATTGAAATTAGTGCCACGGGAAGAACCAAGTTGAGTATTACATTTCAATATAAATAAAGGTTGAGTCAAAATTCAAGCCAGGATGTTCGAAGCGAATCTTCCTTATTTTGACTAGAACACCAACGTGGAAAAATCTCCATCAAGTCTTTAGTACAGAATTCCTTTAATAGTCGAATATGAGAGTTGAGGAGCAAGATTCGAAATCTAGCAAAAATTTCAAGGTGAAATCAAAATTAGAAGTCATATGCTGAATTTTTTTTCCCTTCGATGAGAATATCAACGAAGAATCTTCCTCCTCCTCATTTCCAAAAGTATTCCCCGAAATTCTCGATGTAATCGTTATTGTCAAAGTCGATCGCAATCCATGATATGGGTAAACTAGGGCTTTACGCATCACGTCGACTTTCGAGAAGCAAGGCTGTTTCCAATTGACGAGGCACTCGCACGCCCGCTGCCTGACGGGTCGATTCCCAATTTTATCCCCCCCCCAAATATATAAGCTAGAAACACCGACCCCCGGGTTCACATCACATCACATCACAGCACCAAGTCAAAAGAGAGGGAGAAAAACCCCTCCGTGTCGCCATTCCCGTCCGGAAACTCGCCAGTGAACATTTCAAGAGCTCGATATCCACTGCCTGCCCATCGATCCAACTATTCGCTTCATAATAAAAAGCACACACACACTTTTCCTATCCAGCGACTTCGCAGACCTTCATGATCCAGTCTGTCCGAGTATACGGCACACTCCACTCACACAAAAAGGGGGTTTCCCCTCTCGAGGCTCAAACCATAAACACTCCGCAAAATCCATTTTGTTCGATGGTCTCGAACATCAACAAAAGGAAGGCTTCCACTTCTCGGGCTTTTACATAAGTTTCTTCTAGAAGATTGCTGTCGATCAGAAGATACAGCAGAAATAGAATACAATCGATACCCCGACGCTTCAAATAAGACCCACTTGCCATCTGCAAAATAATTTCACTGGTGCGACATCACAAGAATTCGCCATCAACAAAATTATGCCTTAATAAAATAATAACCCACTACACCGAACTCGCACAAGAAGTTTTTCAAAGCAAAAAACATCAACACGGACAATTGGCTCGAATTGCATTAAGTCAATTTACCCGATGCTCATCAACTGAACCTAAAAAATCGATAGATTTTCATGTTTGCATTGAAATATAAATTTTCAGTCACGTGATGGCTGAAAGACAGTCGTAAATTTCAAATGAACCTGGCTGAACTGTTCTAAATAGGTTCACAAAAGCTTAGATCACGATCACTCTTCTTCAGTCGAGATACATTTATTTTATTTCGTAAGTTAGTTATATGAAGGCTTCCAATGATCACTTTTTAAAATGTTCAACACTTAAACTTGAAGTAAAGTACGAAAGCTGTTGACGAAAATTACAGCACTGTCGTATATTCGAAATTTCAGTACGCCGAAAATTCTTTTACTCGTGTGACAGGTCCGAAATGATTGGATTTTGAAATTAAACCCAACAAAACTTTTTAATATCCCGCAAATATCTTGTGCGAGAAAACCGTCGAGGAAATACCATATCTTAGCCCTGGAAATGGTTTACTCACTCACATTCTTCAACCGTAATTGGATTTCGTAGGTGGTACGCGGAATTTTTTCAAATAAACTTTTTTTGAACGGATTTCACGAAGAGGAAGAGAATGCGATGAACTTGATGAAATTCACGGGACGATTTCGAAGTCAATGCAGCTCAACTTTTCTCGCCACAATCCCGGAAGACACGACACTGTTCCGACCGCGCAGCACCAATTACCCAACAAAAAAAAGCCCAAAATCGGGCAGCAAAGATAAATTGAAAAGAAGTCACAGAAAAGAGGTCGTCGGGAATAACTCAGGCGCACACCGTAGAAAGAAAAATATAAAACCCGGGCAAATGATTCCCATTTTCCCTTGACATCCTCGCACATCGGTGCGCCCCCAAAACGTCACTGGTACACTGTGAATAACGGCTTAAATGGATAATCGCCTGCGGAGGGGTGCGAGAAATCGGATTAGGCCCCGGATTTCTGCAACGAACCTTGGGTCTCGTGCGGTGACCGGAATCGCACCCGAAAATTTACGGCTAAATCCCACGCCTTCTTGCAGAGACATGACCGGAATTAGCATTACCATGTAAAACGCGGAACATTTTCTTCTTCGGGCATTTCCAAGGCAACCGACTTTCACGAAGACTTGATCGCGGAAATCCAAGGCAATCATGGCAGCGATAATACGACAAGTCCCTCGATTATGACAAAATCCATAATAAGATAATCAAGTAAGAAAAAAAAGCGAAACGGGACGCAAAATACCGTTTCAAGGAAAAATGCGTGGGGGTTGACGGATGGTTGAGATGAAAGTATTTGTAGCGGCGTTTGTTCCACTGAGCTTTTCAAAATCCATATTTTTTTTTGCAGAACCATTAAAAATGCATATTTGAGAGAGAATTCCTGCACTCGTAAAAAAAAAATTAAACAGAGAATTACTGAAACATGGAACTCCGGCAACTATATCGGAACATTTCCTACACCTCATTCTATAACACCGCAGAATGAGAATAAATACTCCCTTCAAAAATTTTGTAATACGGCGAAAACTTGCCACGGTAATTTACCTTCACAAATTGATCATCCGCCATCTTGAATTGATGCTTGAGAGAAAATTAACAATTATCTTTGGATACTGTCACTCGGAACCCTTCGGATGCCAGGCTATCTTATAGAAGAAAATCTTGATTCCAATACGACAATTCGGTTTTTCTCTTTCCAAATCATAACTTCCATCATCAAACTTATTATTTTAATGCACAAAACGACAATTTATCCATAAAAATGTGACGTTGGCATGCAAGATCTCCGTGGCAACGTTTGTGAAAGCTCATCGTTCTTCGTTTGTCACCCCCAACAGCGAGAACAACTCGCGAACACACTTTTACTCTTTCTAACCTTTCAAAAAAGAAAATTAAACAAGATGAACTTTCTCACTACCGAATCAGTTGCCAAAGAAAAAAAAAAAGCAGGTGTTCAGGGTCAACAAGTACCCGCAGAAGCTTTGCACTTTGATTCTCAGCCTTTTCCTTCTTCAACTTATCCAGCAAAAAAATAAAAAAATAAATACAAATCCGAATTTATGTGTCAAATCAGTTGCCAAGATAAAAGCAGCAGGTGTGTTGGGCCAACAAGTACCCCCACGCGTGGAAGGTCTTACAAAACTTGAACGTTTGCAGCTTTAGATTTCGATCCTCATGACCCCAGCAAATTCCAGACCTCGAGCCAAGCTATGACAAAAATTCTGGAAACGTTTGCAAGAGCCAACTCGTACAATACCTCTTCAACTTGAATTGAACACGTCCTATGCAGTACAGTATTTTATTTTCAAACGAAATTTATCCATCAATAAACAAGATACGTCGCTGGAAAACATGACCGTATCTGCTCCGGTAGAACTCTGAACGATGAAGTTCCAAGCCAATTT